TATACACAAACATACAGAGTGAATATATCCCCCTGAGGAAGCCTATCTGGGCGTAACGCGTAGGGGACTCATCAATTAGTAATATACCTGTATTAGAAAGAATCAATTATGTGTATATCCTTATCCACATGAATGTATTGAGAATGTATGAAATACGGTTTGCGAATATACCAATCAGCAATAGTCATAGAATTAGATACATGTATCCTTGAATTGCATACGAATATCACCACAAGAGAAGTTGTAAATAATATTTTATTGAACTGCATGAATCTTTTAAACCAACAAGAATCTAAAATCAAATAAATATATTTTTTCATATTATATACATCTGAGTCCTTTCCAAACACACTCCATCACAATAGAAATATTGTAAACAATTGCTAAACTCATTAATTAGGAGGTGTGGACTCAGGTCGCCTAGGGTGGGGTCTGGGAAGTACCATTACTGGATTGACAAATAAATGTTAACGCTTGCAGCAGGGCTTTCCCTGCACTGCAAGGGTTATGTGCTCATTTTGCTCTAGGGGTGCAAAGAAAGAAAATATATTCTCACCTGATCTTCAGTCCCGCCTGGCTGATAGACCTTCCCTGCAGCCTCCCCTTACCTGGGCTCTGGTGGTCTAAGCCCCATCTGACATCATCATGTCTATGCAAGGTTCATTTACTTGTTTTAGACATGAGGACGCTGAGGAACATACCACAGTCCGAGCAGAGGGGAAAAAAGGTGAGCAGTCACTGACACAGGATCGAGGATCAGTGAGTGTATCTTACTCGCTCCGTTCCCTAGATCAAAATGTGCAGTTAACCCCCTGCAGTCAGGCCCAGATTCCCCACAAGGCCACCGAGGCAGGGCGCAGAGGGGCAGCAGCGTCTGTGGAATCCCCCGACGCGCGGAACATGCAGTTTCGGGCGACGGGCGGTAAGTTGCTTTCTACATTTAGCCCTGCTTGAGGAAGCCGGCACTTATTCCTCCCCCCACCTGCACTTACCTCTCTCCTCGCTGGCTCCGTTTTCTTGGCTCCGCCGCCGAGTCTGTCTCCTCACTGACAGCCGATGTGGGGAGCAGAGCGACAGGGTTACAAGTAACCCTGCCGCTCTGTGTACACAGTGAGAGGGGAGAGCTGTGCTCTTCCTCTCTCACCTGTCACAGGAGTTCCAGCACAGTGCTGTGCTAGAACTCCTGTATTGGAGGTGACAGGGTCAATAAAGAGAACCTGTCACCTCCAAATGCTGTCACACAGGTGCTTGTTAGCTTCTGTGTAATAGCAATGAAGTTAAGTGGAAAAAAGAAAATTTGATTAAAAAAATGTATTAAATAAATATAAATAAAAAATTTTAAAAAGTAGAAACTAATAAGTAATAATGAAATATAAACTTAAAAGGTCATTAAAAAGTATAAAAAAATAAGAATGTTGTTAAAAAAATAAGAAAATAATTATAAAAAATAAACAATATTAAGATAACACATTCTAAAAAATAAAAATGCAAAGGATAAGATACATAAAAATTTAAAAATCTTGACTGATGGATTTGTCGATTACGTACCTCTTTTAAAAGCCCCAATAAACACACAGACTACGTGGCATGGATTTAAATGGCCTTGTGTACCTGATTTTTTCACACCCACCAAAGACCCCCCTAACCAACCAAGCTGCCGTGACATGAAAAGGACATTTTAACCATCAGAAACCACAAAATTCAGGGAGTGCAGGTGGGACAACTGACCCCAACCTCCAATGAGTTAAGATCAGCTAATTCCCATTTTATTTTAACCCCTTCTCCAGGAACTATTCTTTCCCCCAGTCATGCAGTCACTCCGATCTGTCTCTCTGGGTCTGTCTTTAATGAAAAAATAGATACATGAATTAACCATAAACAGTCATCAAGGTCTGATGTCAATCCAAATCTACAAATGACAGAAAACCAATAAACCATTACAAAAATCATTTAAAAGTGAAACAGAACGATTAAAGCTGAACTCAAACATTGTCCTCATACAAGAGTCATGTGTATTCTTCTTCGAATCTTGGTGGGCTTCATGTATTTCTTCCAGATCTGTGCAGTAATCCAGTGTGAAACTTGGAGCTTCCTGTAATAAAGACCAATCACTGCTGCTCTCTCTCATTGTGGAGGTTGATTGGTCTTGTCCCCGCCCCTTTTGTAGTTTTCTGCAGGCAGCCTGTAGTGGGTGGATCCTTCTGGATCCCTCCCACAGCTCTGCTCTCTGCAAATGGCTACACAGTGATGATGTCACTGTGACTTTAACAAGGTCACTCCCACAGCTTTGCTCTCTGCACAAGCCATGTACAGCACAGTGATGATGTCACTGCCACGTTTACTAGGTCATATCTTGGTTTGCAAAAGCATTTGGTGCACAAATGGTGCTTTATCCACTTTGTGCCTATAGTGGGATATATTTAAATAAAGGTTTTTCTGTCTGCAGCACCATCACCTGGGATTCTATTCTACCATGACAAGCTATGATTTTAGTTTCTTTCTTGCAATTTATTTAGAATTTATCTGTATAAACTGTGGAACTTGAGCGCTTGATTTTTGTTTGGCAGCCATTTCACCCTATCAGTAGCCAGGACCCTAGTGGCTTGATAAGGATTAGCCCAGTGGGTATTTGCCGTCCTTGATCTCCTGGGACAGGGACTGATATGTACAATAAGACAGAATGTGACTGTGTTTCAATAATACATTAAATAAAAACATTGAAAACTTTACATCTGCATTTACTCAGCATGTTAATACCGATCTCCTGGGAACAAAATCCCCACATGTGCGAAGGAAACAAATACCTTTAATGAGGTCGAAGATGCTAGGGATAAACACAGTGTTAGCTTGATAATAAATTGAGGCAGACATGACATCCCATGAAATGGAAAGATTATAGGGCAGACTGGATGAGTCAATTGGCTCGGAGGTAATTTGATGCATTATTGGGAGCACTATGAGAGAGCTAGAGCAGGAAATGGATCTCAAGCAAAGCAAATACCACTTATGCAGTAAGCAAAGTTCAGCCGATACTGTACACTCTCCGACATATATGATATAAGAAGCGTGTCCGAGCTGCACCATTAGTGATATGCAGATATAAAATAACACTGCAATGCACCTAATACAGATACAGAATGTTGGATTATGTCCTAAACATGCGATATTACAGTCAGACACAGGGCTTCAGATAAACTAAGAGTGATGGCTGTTGACGAATGCGAATTGTCACGTGACCGCTTAGTTTGGCACATTGCATGTGAAATAAACTGTTATGTAGTTTCTTTGGTGCATAGAAAAACATGTAAGGCTAGGTTCACACCTGAGCGTATTTTTTCAGCACGTTTTTTTCGCGTTTTTTAGCACGTTTTTCACTGGCGGTATGATTTTTTTTTCCGTATTTTCTCTTTTTAAAAAAAAAAAAAACAATTTTTTTTTTTCACTTTCAAACTTCTCGCTGGCTCCGCCTCCCTGCGGCGCGGCCGCTCGCAAGGGACCGAACCCAGGAGTCGGCAGCCGCCGGAGGACACAGCGGGGATCGCAGACAAGGTAAGAGCTGTACACTGTATTCCCAAGTGTGGCTCGGGGTCACCGCTTTAACCCCGATCCACAATCGGGAATACCAATGGAAACGCACGGAAAAACGCCCCAAAGAAGCTCCTGTACTTCTTTGGGCGTAGGGCGCGTTCCTACGCACTGTAAAACGCCCAGGTGGGAACCATGCCCATAGGCAATTATTGGTTTTTACATGTTGAGCTTTTTTACAGCGCGTAGGAACGCGCTGTAAAACGTCCAGGTGTGAACCAGGCCTAACTGTCTTGTACCATCGTCCTCTTGGTGCATTATCAGTCAGGACTATGTAGGCTATACAGTGCAGAAGTCAGGACCATATATATATTAGGGCTGCGGAAATTAACGATTAATCCCTCGATTAATCGTTAATTTTTTTGATCGATTCAAATGTTTTTGATCGGTACTCACCTCTCCGCCGGCTTCCGGGTCTTCCGGTAGTTCCAGTGACGTCACGGACATCGACGTCACCAGACTCCTCCCCCCTTCCCCAGGTGGCTCCGTCGGCTAACGAAGGGAAGGGGGGAGGAGTCCGGTGACATCGATGTCCGTGACGGCTAGCGAAGGGAAGGGGGGAGGAGTCCGGTGACGGCGATGTCCATGACGTCACCGGACTCCTCCGCCCTTCGTTAGCCGACGAAAAACTAACGAGGGAGAGGAGGAAATCCAGCAGCAGGTAATTTAGTAGTGTACTCAATCTAGCTCATCGTATAAATGTAGCTCCATTTTATATATCCATTGCATGCATTGTGTTTCTTACAATCATTTTAGATGCTCAGATATGCTTTATGGTACAATTGATTGAACAACTTGATTTTAAACTCAGTGAGCAGTTTAGAATGCTTGTCCTGGTGTTATGACGTCATGCGATGATTGTCTGCAGGCAATGCTTTTTAATTATTGTCACGAGAAGGCAAGTCTAAGCCGGGCAAATGTGCGGAAGGTTACACAATTAGCCTGCCTTCCCTTTCTATGATAAATCGGGACTAGATCTCCAGAGGAACAGCCTTAACCCAACCTATTGATGTTAAAATCCATTAATCGAAATTAATCGATTACTTTTTTTCGATTAATCGAACACGAAAATGTTATCAACCATAACATTATGACCACCTGCCTAATATTGAGTAGGTCCACCTTTTCCTGACCCATCGAGGCATGTATTCCACTAGACCTCTGAAGGTGTGCTGTGGTATGGTGGGACCTCCATGGATCGGACTTGTTTTTCCAGATCTTAGATCTGGAGAATTTTAAGGTCATCACTTTGAATTCATTTTTGTGTTCCGCAAACCATTCTTGAACCATTTTTGCAGTGTGGCGGGGCGCATTATACTGCTGAATGAGGGCACTGCCATCAGGGAATACCATTTCCATGAAGGAGTGTACTTGCTCAGCAACAATGGTTAGGTAGGTGGAACGTGTCAAATTAACATCCACATGAATGGCAGGACCCAAGGTTTCCCAGCAGAACATTACCCAAAGCATCACACTGTCTTGTTCCCATAGTGTATCCTGGTGCCAGCTCTTCCCCAGGTAAGTGATGCATATGCACCAAGCCATCCGTATGATGTCAAAGAAAACATGATTCATCAGACCAGGTCACCTTCTTCCATTGCTCCATGGTCCAGTTCTGATGCTCACGTTCCCATTGTAGGCACTTTTGGCCCCATACGCAATAAACTGCGATGCACTGAGTGCTAAGACACCTTTCTATCGGAACCAGACTACACAGGCTAGCCATCACTCTCCATGCTCCATGTGCATCAGTGAGCCTTGGCTGCCCATGATCCTGTCTCCAGTTCACTGGTTTTCCTTCCTTCACTTTTCTAAGGTTCTCACCACTGCAGACTGGGAACATCGCACAAGAGCTGCAGTTTTGGAGTTGCTCTGACCCAGTTGTCTAACCATCACAGTTTGGCCCTTGTGAAAGTTGCTCAATCCCCCCCCCCCCCCACTTCCAGGTGCCAAATCAAATGCAATAGTAGGCTTTCTAGGGTAATGACATAGAACAACATGAATTATTATCTTATGCATATAGAGTTCTGAATTATTAATACAATGAAATATATTAGAGTTGACTGTATGCTCATGTCTTGCAGATAGCAGTGACAGCGAACTGGAGTTATCAACAGTGCGTCACCAGCCAGAAGGACTTGAGCAGCTGCAGTCTGTCACCAAATTTACAAAGAAGGAACTTCAGTCCCTCTACAGAGGATTTAAAAATGTGAGCATCAGACGTGACAATATTTATTGTGCTGGCAAAGACTATATAACGGTGTCTGAAAAGTGAACACAATTTTATCTACATTATAAGGCTGCATTCACCTGCTGCGTTCTGTGATTCCTGCGGCAATGGCCTACAGCTTCTTGTGGCAGGAATCCCAGGTTTCCCTGTTCAGATGGAGCCGCTGTTACCCTGTCATTTCCTTGAATGGGCACAGCGGCCACATCTGAAAAGGGAAACCTGGCATCAGTCTACTTGCTGTATATACTGCACACATGTACTATGGTCCTCACAAAATATGTCTTAATTACAGTACCACAAAAGACACACACACAGAATATTGACATAGAACTCACTAAGCCTACCTTAGGCCTGGTTTACACCTAGGCGTTTTGGGAAAAGAGCTTTTAAACGCCCAACACAAGAAATCCCATGATTTTCAAAGGCCCCTGCACACACCACAACATAGTCTATTTAGTGCTGTGATGCAACACAATGTAACATACAACACAGCATACATCTTGCATGGGTAAAGACTATGTAGGGCATGGGGTGCAGTTGTCAGGACCATGTATTATACAGCATACTGCATACAGTGCAGCGGTAAGGACTCTGTAGCTTATACAGTGTGGTACTGAGGACTATGTAATGTACAACACAGTGTAACAGCAGCAGTCAGAACTGTGTAGCATACAGAGTGCAGTGCTCACTACTGGGCAATGTACAACATAGCACATACAGTGCAGCAGTCAGAGAACAGGGGTCAGGACCTTTGAATTGCACAGCACAGTTTTCAGCATGCAGTGTTCAGGATTAAGTGCCCCTTATGTTGGTGATCAATGTCCCCTCAATATTTGGTGGTAACTGATGTATGTGCCCCCCTGTGTGTCCCTTTCCATTGGTGGCCAGTGGACTCTGTGCCCCTTTTAATTGTAGTCCAGTGGCCTGTGTGCCCCTTTCCATTGATGTCCAGTGACCTGTTTGTTCCCTTACATTGGATTCCAGTGGCCTGTGTGCCCCTTTTTATTGGTGTGCATTGGCCTGTGTGTCCCCTTTTAGTGATGTCCCATGGCCTGTGTGTGTTCTCTTACAATGGAGTTCAGCGACCTGTGTGCCCCTTGTATTGATGTCCAATGTCCCGTGTGCCCCCTTTCATTGGTGTCTAGTGGCTTTTGTGCCCCCTATCATTGGTGTCTAGTGGCTTTTGTGCCCCCTTTCATTGGTGTCCAATGGCCTGTATACCCCTTTCATTGGTGTCTAGTGGCCTGTGTGCCCCTTTTCTTTGGAGTTCAGTGGCCCATGTGCCCTCTTCCATTGGTGTCTAGTGGGCTTTGTGCCCGCTTACCCTGGTATCCAGTAGCCTGTGTGCCCACATACATTGGTATCCAGTGGCCTGTGTGTTCACTTACACTAGAATTAGTTTCACTTGTTAATAGGCCCTATATGACAAAAATAATGAACCTTCTTTTTCTGTTATTTCTTTTTAGGAGTGTCCAAGTGGATTAGTGGATGAAGAAACATTTAAGCTCATCTATGCTCAGTTTTTTCCTCAAGGAGGTCAGTGGATTTCTATCGTGTCTGTTTCTATACAATTGTTAACTATCCAGAAAGAGAGATCATAGTTCACAGATGATTAGAAATAAATTCATGGGAAGCATTTCCTGTTCTACCAAACGATTAGCTCATTTGAAGACAAAATTCTTTGTTGGTTAGTTGGTTCTTGGTTAGTTCAATCAGTAACAGCCGTGTAATATTAAGATCTCATTTGATTGCATTCAGTGTCTACTACCCACGGACACACTGGGGCTTCAACTGCCATGGTGTGTTCCTGTGCTGTAAGGATGTTGGGCTGCCTCCTGGTGAACCTGCACCCAATTAACCCTTTGCTATATATGCTCCAAGATGGTGGCTCTCATAGATTAGAGTTAGGACTGCACTACACAGAGGGGCCTTGACAGTAGGGCTTCCAAATATTTTGCATATTTTGTTTATTAATTATGTTCTGGATGAGATTTGGGTTCCCTGCTACCATAGATTAGAATTTTTTGCCAAAATTTCTCGTTTACCAGAAACAAATGCACTGTGTGACCTTTGCCCAGTCAAATAAGTTGCAGAGGGAATATTTAACCCAGCCCCCTTTCTTTAAAAGGGTGGGCTCATGGCAGCCATGTTATCAGCAAATTAAATTCTGTGTACAAAATGTTTAAATTGTTTAAATTTTGATTTTCGAGGCCCGGCTTCACATGCAATTTGTTTGACAATAGATTGTTTATCAGCCCTATAAAAGGGCAGGATTTAAACGGAGAAAAGTCAATCGATTCCCCCATCCACGCTAAACAGACAGACGGAACCCATGGCTGTCAGAATTCCTGAAGAATGAATGCATCTGGTTGGATGCAAACACTGTTTGGCAAACAATTTTCCTCCTAAATGGACACAACTTCTTATCAAAATCAAAGGAGCTGGATGGAGAATTGCTTACGAACAGTCACTGCATCCAATCAGATGGCTGGCTCCTTCCGGCGCCTTCATTTTTCGTATCGACTTGGGTGGTGCCGACAGGGCAATGGCTGTTACATAAAAGCATTTGGGTGGCTATAGAGTTTCCTGATCACTTGTATGGTGCTGGAGAAGTGTGGGCTCCCCCTCCACCACAACTACTGGCTATCCTGGGCACCGTTGTCCCCCGTACGGGCCAGGGACCCCCACGGCGGGTCTCTGCACTTAAAATGGAGGGAGATCAGCACACTTCCAGTGGCTGATCTCCCCTCCAATCACTGGACCCAGAAGTGATGTGTATTACACCACTTCCGTTTGTTGGAACTTCTTGCACAGCCTCACAGAGAAACACAAGCACACAGTCTGATATGCATGCTGCACATGGCTTGACAACAGGAAGGAAGCCACAGCTTTATTATCTACCTTGTTCAATACAACAGGGTATATCTACCATAGATATATAACAGAACTTATAAACACTGCCATCTAGTGATCAAAATTGTATACTGCAGAAGTTATTGCTATAAACACAGTAATGTGCATTCTAACACCGGTTTTATTGTGCAATTTCTTTGGTTGCTGTAGCCGGAAAAGAAGCTGATGATGCAGATCTCTGCTTCATCAGCTTCTTTGGGGTCCATAGGTGACATTAGGGGTTTAAAAGACCCCTGGTGTCTCCATAAAGAGGACCTGTCACTGTATCTGTGCTATCACATAGGGAGAATGTTAGCACCCTATGTAATAGCAAGGAAGTTAAGTGTAAAAAAAAAAGTTGAAGAAATTAAAGTCACATATTTTAAAAAAAAATGATAAAGACACCAAAGTTTTTTACAGTCCCCCAGCCCCATGTACAGGCACATACCAACACAGACATACATTTGGTGTGCCTACATGCAAAAACAACAATTGTGCCGCACGTGTTACATATCACAGAGAATGTCGGAATGTAAGCAATAATTGTAGGGCCATCAATCAGTGTTAACACTAAATTGGTGAGTGGTAAAAGTTTTTGTAGCGTCGCCTATTGGTAATTTTGGGTATGGTAGTTCTTTGCAATTTCACAGGCGAAGACAATTTTAAGGCATGACATGTTTGGTGTCTATTTACTTGACGTGACTCCGTCTTTTATATTTTACCATAAAAATGCTAATAATAAATGTTTCATAATATAACGTAGGGAGAACTTTTTTCAAAATTTTCTTTACTTTTTTTCTTTATATAGTAAAAAATAAAAAACCCCCAGCGGTGATTAAATACCACCAAAAGAAAGCTCCATCTGTCCCCAAAAAATGGTATAAAATTAATTTCAGTAAAGTGTTCCATGACTGAATAAATGCCACTCAAAGTACCGCAGCGCTGAATACTGAAAAATGGCCTGGACAGGAAGGGGGTCTAACACCTCGGTCTTCTCCAAGGGGTTAAACATTAAATTGTAAAACAGGCATTTTTAAGCAAATAATGAAACAATATAAAAAAACACGTTGACTAAAAACCATTATACTTTCCCTTTAAAACGTAGAATTTCCATGAAAGTTCAGTGACACATGACCATTTACAATCAGTAAACTGCAGTCACTGTCTGCTCTTTGGCCCACACCAGTAAATGGCCAGGGTTCGCATTAATGGACATCATAGCGGCAGTGACCTCCATGCATTAATGTGAATGTACATGACCCGGCCTGCTTTTGTGTCTGAACTGAGAATCAAGGCCATAGGCAGAGGTGAGGAATAATGCCCGGCGTATTATTGAAAGCCGAAAACGACGAGCTCTTTCCTTCTTAAAGGACAGATCAATAAGGTGAGATGTGGTGAAGGAGGACACTGTGCACGGCACGTCTGAGTTGATCACAGTGTCTTTTGGTGAAAAGATTTCTTTAATGTACATCAGGGATTTCACTTCTGATCCCTGAGTAGGTAATTATGTTTTCCATCTGTATCAGCTGCTGTAATACCAAAAGGGATAAGTATTAAGGTGCCCAATCCCGCGATCGTACGAGAATCGAACAGTGTGAACGAAGACGTGTGACCGTTTCTAATGTACGGTCGCACGTCTTTTGTCTAAGGAGCATGTTAGAAAACCAGCCGAGAATCGTACGATTTTCGGCTGGTTTGAACAGTGCTCGGGAGACAAGTGCCGAACGGGCCCGGTGTGCGCACGCGCACACTGCCCGTTCAGCATTGCGGTCATCGGAAGCCCGCCCTCAGGGGGGCGGGCTTGCGATGATCGAGAGTGCGATCTGCCTGTCCAAGATGGGCAGATTGTAAATTTTTTTAATCACTTTACAACTATCGCAAGACTAAGGTCTTGCGATGGTTGTACAGTGTATGGCCACCTTTAAGGTGCCCATACACCTGCCGATTATTGTACGATAATCGGCAGGTGTATGGAAGTTGTGCGACCGTTTCTACTGTACGGTCGCATGTCTTTTGTCTTACGAGCAGGCTCGATAACCAGCCGAGAATCGTACCATTGTCGGTGGGCAAGCGCACACTACCCGTTCAGCATTGCAGTCATCGGAAGCCAGCCCCTCAGCGGGGCGGGCTTGCGATGATCGCAAGTACGATCTGACTGTCCAAGATGGGCAGATCGTACGTTTTTTTAATTACCTTACAACCATCGCAAGACAAAAGTCTTGCGATGGTTGTAAGGTGTATGGCCAGCTTAAGTATAGGTTCAATTTACAGCCACACATGAAAACTTGCCATTCAGAGTGACTTAAAGGGTATGTAGGCCCAGAAGAATGTAAATACAGCGTACCAATACGTAAAGCAGAACTCTGGGTAAAACTATTCTTAACCCTTGCAGTGGGTGCTCGTTTTTGTCTGGATGCTAAAATAAAAAAAAGTTATATTAACCCGAACCACGGAGACATCTTGCTCGTAGACCAGTCCTTGGAGCCTCTCTCCCCCTGCAGCGGTCTAAGGCACCAGAGTCATCACATCCTATACAGTGTATGGGACATAAGGAAAGCGAGGGACATACTAGCTTATTTTTTTTTAGGCTTATTTTTCCTTTATTTTCGCTAGGGATGCACCGTTACTGGTTTTTCGGTATCGAGTATGAGTACTGATATTTTGTTCAGGGTACTCACTGATACCAAATACCGATACCGGAAGTCCCATTAAGGAAGCCCGGCGGCATTTAATAACTTAATGCTTCCTCCAGGTGAGGAGGAAGCATGGAGCCGGCTTTCTGGCCAATCAGGAAGCCGGGCGGTGAGTCATTACACGCTGCCCGGCTTCCTAGCCAATCATGCTCTCTCGTCACCAACCTGGGACGCTCTGGCTGGCGACCCGCCCAGCTTCTGGCAACTAGTGATGTCAGTGAGCTGGGTGGATAACCAGACAGAACTGGAGCCAGAGGTAACATGGACACCCACCTTCTCCCCCCCCCCGCCCCCCCCCTT